GTAATATACCTCATTCTAGACTCTATATCAGCTTATAAACCACACCTTTAACCGTGGAAATGAGGTATATGTTACATTCCCTTGGGAAGGGAGGGTGGTGATTTATTAGGCCAACTCCAGATACGCATGCATCATGACGATAAAACTGTAAGGAATTAACTAACCCATTATTAGTTGATTTCCTGTACAGAAAGTTCTCATACAAAGATGCTCTTTCATCTCTGTATTGATGTATATGTTTCGTCATCTGCAGTAGACCGTATTAGACGGTCATATCGCACGGCACTTTTGAAATAAATAGCATTGCATTAATCGTTGGTGATCCAAAAAATCAAAACCCAGAACATCTGTTTTATGCACTCATGATTGACGCCTAAAAGATTAAATTGTTGTAGGTTTTGCCAGTTTGTATCATCACTCGTTCTCGTCTCACTTTCATTTGTTCAGACTGAATTGGTTAAAGACCCTCATGTACAACCAAAGCAAGTGTCCAGCAGCAGTCCTACCTTAGACACTCGCCCCAGTTGTCAGGACGCGCCATTTACTGTTGCTGTTCCAGCGCCCTCCGCTTCACCTGGTAAGGATTCTTACGACATCTTAATTAAAATTGCGAAGTTAACAACTCCTATGTGAGCATAGAAATAGAACAATGACACATGGTCGATTTTTTCTCCCGAAAGGAGTTCTTAGTAAAGCTTACTCGGCTTGTAGGATTTGTTGTTCAATGTAGATCGTTTTATAATTACATAAGGGTATTCGACGGTATATTCTCTCAAAATTAACCACAAAACGTACAAGCGAATCAGGTTTATCAATGGCGTTTGAAAGTAGAGAAGTATTATGGATTAAAATGGTCAGTCAGGATTCAGGCCAATTTATTTCAATTAGGCAAATCCAGTCTTTTGCAAAGCAACATTTCTCTCTGAAAAGTTTCCACGCACAATACTATCACCATGTTAATTTCCGGACCTTATTTCTTTACAGCTAGTACATTGTTAGTGCAAGCTTTTATTCCTATGGCCCATGGACCCAATCCAGGCCTCCATGTCCGTCCAAACTTCTCCCCTCAAGGTCAGGCGCAAGATCACATCCCCTGCCCCTCCCTGGGGAGATACCCCGTCACAGTTCCGCCCCCACCAGGCATGCCGGGATATTCTGTCTTTCGTCTGATGCCGCTGACACCACCACCAACTGATTCGGAGCCGCCAAGCACAAGTTCAGAAGATCCCGTTGACTGAACAAATGGTGGACGTTCCTGTCGCAAGTCTCTGAAGCTTGAGCCACAGTACTATGGTGTACACAAAATTCCGATAGTGGAGAATCGTACAACCTCTCTGTAAACTTACTACAGCGAACAAAGAAACAGATTTTTATAATTTATTGTCATCTAACTCAGACAGCTTTCTTCAAGTTTTCATTGTTCTTCAGTATTTGCATCTATTTTGGTTAAATTCGTTTGTAGTCTGTCATTGACACAATACGACTTTTTAGATAATGAAAACTCTATCGGAGAGTAATCCGGATCAAGAATATTTTCACATATACAATCTGTACTAATTTTAACTGTATCTTCCTTTTGATGGATACGTAATACTTATGCGGTATTTCAAAGGGGGACAACATGGTCATGTATAAAAAGAAACAGAGTGGTTTTTTTTGTAAATAAACAATTATTTAGATCTTTTTAGCCGCTTTGTTTCTTTCTATTATCCTTACATGATACAGTAATTTAGTCTCAGATCACAAGTAAAAAACAAACTGATCTGGACATTTTTCTGACTGGCTCAGAAACAATAACTATGAAAAGCTCTGTTCTGATTGGCTAAAGATGAGGTTTTATGTTTTTCCCACGGGATAAGGATTTTTTGCAATGCTGTTTGAATAACCATGTTGCATAAAAAGTTCCTGGACATGTTTGTTATTTGTACCGTTGCATTTTAATAGAAAGGACAGTGGAGTCTCGAAAAATACTTAGTAATTAATTTCGCGCGAATATAGTGGACCACCATACGGTTTTACATTGTAATACAAAATGGCGTAAACTAGTAGGCTCAGAGTACAATGGGTGACTGTAAAATCAGGAACAGGCCTGGAACACCCTTAGGACACACTGGAATACCCCGGAACACCCCCCTGACGGGTCGAACCCCCCCCGGATTACCTTTAATTACAAAAATGGGGCAAAAAGGCTACAAAACCAAAACCTAAAATATCATCAATGAATCAATAAATATTTTTTACCTGCATGTAACTGGAAAACGGAGATTGGGTCAGATTGACGAGTTCACGCTAATTATGAGATTTTTTCCAATACATTTCAGACCTGACTCAAAATTTAATGCCCTATTTCTTACCATTCAGTTACAGCACGAGCACGTTGATGCATTTTCTTAGCTTTCCAGTAGCTGATTGATTTGTTACCACTTTGCAAAAGAACTTCAAATTGATCACAGGCAGATTCTGCGCAAGATGTCGAATAGAAGAGAAGTGTTGTGGTTCCTAACCATACATGTCTAATTTTTGAGCAAACCATTTTTTATTAAAGACCAAAATTTTCTTAAATCTATTCGCAATTTCACAAAAGCCTAAAAGGCTAAAAACATCTGACATACTCTGCTGGAGCTTCATATACCTGAGAGAGTACCCCAACCCCCCCGCCCCCACCCCTTGTCAGTCACTTCATTTTCTTTAGACCTTAACCGCACTTCACGAACAGGTTTGTGTTATCTTTTATATAGGATTTTAAAAAGCTGTATGACATTTGCCATGATCAAAAAACAAAACAAGTGTACCGTGTGGTATTACATTTCTTATTGCTCTCGGTGTTGAGGAGAACTTGAGGTATTACGGTGAATTTTTATGGGTATAATGATACACTGCTACCACCCCCACGGGCCAATATCTGAAAAGTGTGCCACTTAAAATTACTCTTTCTTTAGCATAATATTACATAACGTTGTGTGCACAGCTGAATAGCTTTCAATAATGATCCGTTGTTTCTCTCCAAAATATCGCGTGATTCCAGCCCAGACGTTGACGTCATTCAATGTAAATATAATTAATTATGCATAAAACACCGCACCCAAACCAGCACCCACTAATCTTGTACATATGTCTCACTTCCGAGGCAGATGGGAAAGAGCTTCAATATCTCCAATGCCATGCTAACTGTTCGGTTTTCCAAGTCTTAATTTGTCTTAAATCAAAGAAGGAGAAATCGGGTACCTTAGTATTATCGCTGGTTCTTGATGTACACATTCGTCATTTGTGTTTAGCCATACATTTGGATCGCCCAGTGACGCCGGTAAGAGCAGACTTCCTGAAATTCGAGTGTCTACTGTTGTTAGTTTAGAAACTTTAAAGTTCAAGGCAGTAATGAATAAGCAGAGAATGAACGCCACGGAATTACTTCTCTATTTGTGACTTGTTTTGTCACTAGATACTATCTGCAGTGTACTCTTTTAGGGGTAAATGGCGTCGACATCATTGATAAGGAAATGAAAGTCTTAACAAACTTGCAAGCTTCTGACACAAAACTAATTCTGTTATATTGAGTCAACACTGCATGAACCTTTCTAGGATGCTTCTTCTCGAACAGTCATTAACTTCAACTTGCAAAGGGATTTTTCTGTGAAACGATGATCAGTACACTTAATAAAATTAGCAGCTGAAGCGGATCGGTGACGGTCGTGAACGTCCAAGTCTTTCGATAAGTTTATGATGTTCTCAGTCTTAAACAGACTTCTGTTTCCTTCTGAACGCAAATCATCGAAAATCAAAAAAGCTGCCACTTCTTTTAATCAAAACATATATCAATAGTCTTTGATCAATTGTGTTGCAAATAAAATACAGCAATGTGACAACATGAAGGTGGATAAGTGATGTTCACTTATGCGTTACTTAATTCAGTGAATTACTTACTTTGAAAATTCTGGACTCAGTCATTCTTGGTAGACTAGTCCGTTTTTACAAATGTCTCTAAACACTGACATGACTCCGTTTACACAAACACAAAGTTCTGCTGATTATCTTTCAATCATGGTCAATCTTTTTCTGTTTTTCGACAGGGACTGAGTGTGAATTAAAATAGGTTGCATTTTTATTCAGCCACTGTCGGAGCTTGTCGAAGCCGTTTAGGTACATCGGAGATCGTCTACAGGTTTGTTTAAGATTTTAAACTACTTAGATTGTTCATGAACTGAGTTAGAACTAATCCCGACGAACTCAGGAAAGACTATTTATATAATTCCTCGTTGCGAATTTGTGCGATCTCTGAATAAAAAAAAATTATAAACAGCATTTTCCTCATAGAATTCAGCTCATATCTAAGAGTACCCCCCGAGACCTCACTTATCTTTACTTATCAGTTCTTCTGTCCCTTTTTTTCTCCACATTAGACATTTGCTCCTGGAAAGTCAAGAGGTTTGTGCTTATCAACATTTTACCTAAAGCTGTAGATTTTTGATCGGAAAGGTTAACTTACCCATTTTATGAGCAGCTTAAGAGAAGAGAATCATCTAAAGAATCAACATGACGCATTCAGTGTTTCTTCAATACACACATGATCCATAAAATCTTCCGCCAATTGAGCTAATTTTTACGGAAGACTCAAATATTCAGTCATATAATATTTAGATAACAAGTATAACTTTGACACCACTTTTATTGATACCTTAGAAATAGCGCAAACCTACTTTTTCTCCCGATGATTCGATCCACTTTCCTCATTCAGTTTTCCCTAATACCTAGACATTCCAATTTTTTTTGCAGATTGACCGAGCAAAATACTGGGACCTAAGAGAGTACATGTGACAATTTTTCTGGCAGCTTCTACTTGTAGCAATGAATTGCGAGGTCAGTTTGCTTTTTTTTCAGTTACTTAGCTCAATTACTTTCAAAAGGTAATGGTAAAAGGTGATGCTTCATCTATAAAAGGTTGATCAATGTGGTTAATTGTTTATTCCAGGCTTTTGAAGCTTCTTCATAACTGAACCATAGTCTACACAGAATCAACGTTAGGTAAGCTTCTTAACCTCAGTAAACGCAGCTGTTTTTGCTTACTATGAATCTATAAAAGTTCATTCTAAGAGGAAGTCTTTCTTTAGCAGCCTATATTCTTTCTCTTTCTACAATTAAATACACCTTATTCGATGGTTTAGCATATAATACGTGCGGATATTTTGCGAGTTGCGTGGTATGCGGGGCTCGGAAAAATACGAGCAATGAGCAAAATGTCCGCTCGTATTATATGCTAAACCATCGAATAAGAGTTTTATTATTCCACTACAAAAAAAAATTATGTGGCAATTGGCTTCTATTTTTTGGTAAGAGTATTCAGAGACATCCTACATACATACATACATACATACTTTATTTGTCATGTAGGTCAGTGAAAAAAGAGGCAGCTAAAGAGCTGATGTGGACCTACAAACTAAAAAGTATCTACAAAAAAAAAGTAACTAATAATATTAACAAACCAATGAATTATTTACAATGAGTAAGGAAAAATAAAACAATACCTAGCAAGATAAACAACAGTTGACTGTTGCCTTAATATATATAATTTACAATATCTTTATTTATTCCCTGTAACCCATTAAATGTTATTTTATCTAAAATGTCAGATTTTTCTTTAAGAGCAGATTTAAAAGAACCAATATTGGGTTTGCTCTTTAAGTACATGGGTAAGTTATTCCATAGAATAGACGCACGATGAGAGAAGGAAGATCGAAGGAAGTCACTTTTAGGGCAACGCACGTATAGTTTCAGACTGTCCCTGAGATTTCTTAATGGAGAATGTTTAATAAATAAAGAATTTATACCAGCCGGAGCCCTGTTATAAAATGCTTGATAAGATATGGTTGCAATCCTCTTTTTTGTACATGTATGATAAAGACTTCCATTTTGTCGCTGCCAGGACCTCAGTGCTAAGAGTAGAATTCTTTATGTTAAAAATAAATCTCGCTGCTCGATGTGAATGTCCTCCAGGGTCTGAAGAGATTTTGAAGATCCCCATAATGCAATTGAATACGTAATACTTGGAATGATACCTTTGAAATAAATTGACTCTAAGATGCGACTGTCGAGACCTTTTAAGTGTTTCAGTTTCTTCACTCTTGCTGAAAAACGTTTGCTCAAGGATTTGATATGTGGCGACCAGGAGAGTTTATTATCGATTTGAATCCCTAAACATTTAGATTTAGAAACAAAGGACAACTCCTTTTGCCCTAAACATATTTTCTGTAAGGGCCCGATGAATTGTGATTTAGATAACAACATCAATTCGGTTTTTGCAGGATGAATAGTCATGAAGTTAACCATAGCCCATTTGTTTAAGTCGGCGATCGCCTCCTGAATTTTAGATAAGACTTCATCAACAGTATTTCCAATACAAAAAACTGTGGTATCATCCGCAAACATTTCAACAGAAGCATTTGTTGTGGCTTCAGGTAAATCATTTGAGTAAATACTGTAAAATCTGGGACCGAGTAAAGACCCCTGAGGCACACCAGTATCTATTTCCAAAAATTCTGAATTAGAACCATTTACAGTTACAAATTGTTTACGATTTTCGGGGTAATTTAGGAGCCAATCGTAAAAGGAGCCACTAATGCCTATAGAGTGTAATTTATCGATGAGAACTGTATGGTTGACGCAGTCAAATGCTTTCTGAAAGTCAATGAAGACTACGGCAATAACCTTGCTTTCATCCAGGGCCAAACGCCATCGTTCTGTTAGTGAGAGTAAAAGAAGTTCAGGTGAGCCTCCTTTTCTGAAGCCCCATTGATTTAAAGAGATTTGATTGTTGCCATATAAGAAGTTGTCAAGTTGTTGGCTTACAACATTCTCTAATAGCTTGCCCGGAATGCTGAGAAGGGAGATCGGCCTGTAATTTCCGCAGTCGAGAGTGCTCCCTTTCTTGTGAAGACATTTCACCTGTGCCTGCTTCCACTGGCTTGGGAATTTGCATTCCAAAATACTTCTTTGAGCCAGTGGCATAAAGCAGTCCAAAAATACATCTCCAATAAGGCGCAGTCCCCTGCTTGAAATATCATCAGGACCACTTGCCTTGCCAGGTTTCAAACACTTCAGAGAAGATTTCAGAAGATCCTTGTTAAGGGCTATGTTAGAGAGAGAAAGAACAGGGATTTCACTGTTATTTCTTGCAGACTGACAAGGAGAGTTTATTAAAGAGTCTTGTATTGATTTCGAAAGAAATTTTCCAACATTGACAAAAAAGAAATTTAAAGCATTGGCCTTTGATGTGTCGTCTGAGTGAATAACTCCAGAATTATCTTTAATTGGACCGATGTTTGTAGTTGTTAGCTTTCCCTCAAAAGATCTTACGGTCCTCCAAAAATCTTTTGCAGAGGTCGTCTCGTCAAATTTTGATAGCCAGTAATTTGACTCTGCTGATCTAAGGAGATTAGTGCAGTGATTTCTTGCCTTCTTATAATCTGTCCAGGCTTGTGAGCCCTTCGGTGTTTGTTGTGCTTTAAGAAGCAGTTTATAGCGTTTATTTAGCTCTTTACGTATGGATGAGTTCATCCAAGGAAGGCTTCCTCTTCTTATCTTTACTCGTCGAGCGTGAACATGAGATTTCATGATATCCTTGTATAAACACTCCCAAGCCCAAGTAGCATCGTCCAGATCGTCAAAGACATTGCAGATACTCCATGTCTGTGAGAATGACGTTAACAATTAGCAAAATGTTCCCGCGTATTATATGCCAAACCATTGAATGAGAGGTTAATTATTTTACTGCAAAAGAAAAATGGTATTTTGGCTTCTATTTTCTAATGAGAGTATCCAAAACATCCTGATTCTGTCAGCCACAGTTGCTCCTTTTGCATCCGCTGGTATTCGCCCTGTTGTAAACCGGTTAAACCAGGACACTGCGGTGTATTACGGCCTCATATTTTGCTTGTTCTCTTGACCTTATATGGTAAAATGACATAATAGTGGAATAATAATGTGAATTATTGGACCCACTTGGTGTTAAAAACCAGTTAATGCAGACCTTTATCAGGACGTAACAAATCGAAAACGTAATCGATTAATCGATAGTACTCGATAAATACTCGATATTTGTCGATTGATAGGTTTGGTTATAATAATGGATAAAAATCGATAATCACAAATTTGGCTAGAGTCCCCCATTTTTTTTAACATTCCAAACTGAACTAGTGAGCGGTACATCTGTTGACCTCTTGAGTGGTAGAACTAAAGATTTGTTTTGTTTATTTTTTGTTTATTGTTTTGTTTGCCATAAATTGTACAAATCAAATAAAATCTAATTATTTAAACTCTCATGGCGAGGAAGCCCAAGAGAAGCCACTGGGCTTATAAGGAATGGGCTCCCTCAGTTAGATAATTAGAACAAAATATTATCATAATTACACATGGGAAAGTCAATGGCAGAGCTACAGTAAATCTTAAAATAAATATATTAGATAGTCGTACTAATCATAGTTCTAGGCTAAAAAAAGTGAAATGACAAATAGAAAAAAAAAGAAAGCAAAAGGAAGCGGTACTTGTTGCATTTTGAATTTCAAAACTAAGAGAGTTAAAAAATTTAGGACCTTGGAAACTGATAAGGAACTTTCTTATATTAGTCCTGCATTCTTAAAAGGAGCATGACATCGTGATGGAAAATGACACGAGTCACGTTACATTATTGCTCTTGTGGTTGTGTTTCCTATCGATTTGAGCAGATGCAGTACCCCTGAGTACCCTGTAGTGACATAAAAATTTGTAGGGTCGATATCAAGAAAGCGAATAAAGTGTTATGGATATGTTTATTGAGTTTAATATCAGTTACGAGCTGCTGTTTATCAGTTCTAGCAAGTGATGGTGGACTAAACGCAACAGAAAAACGAATCAACGAACTCAGCTTCGCCCATTTTTATCTTTTCGATATTTAGCAATTTCAAAACCGTTAAAATGATCATTTAATTGCAGAAATCGATAAAATCGATGATCACAAAAACTTGACTGATCGATTTCCATCAACTTTCGATATTAATCGATAAATTATAATTGATTTTGATTCATTGCTATCTATTTTAATCGAGTATCGAAAATATTGATTTGTTATGTCCTGATAATGTGTAAGTCAAAATTTATTAAAATTCGAATTATGGTTAATCCCAGACAAAAATGTACCATGTGTTGACCAAATATCCCTACCCCGAATAAGTTGAAAAGGGACCACAATACCTATCAATGTAAAGGCAGTGTGAGGGGGGGGGAGGCAGGGCATGGTGTGGGGATTTGACATTTTTCAAAAATTTGTCGTGAAATTCCTTGCCCACGAGCAAATCATTCCAGTCAAATGCACAAAAATTTCCTAGCGCTGATAAGTTTTATCAGGTCGCTATGGTCGGGGAAAAATGAAAATTTTTCAAGGTCAGGGAAAAGTCAGGGAATTTTTTAAAAAGTCAGGGAACTCTGTTTTCTGGCGCAATGCATCAAGGTTGGCAATGGGCCTTTAAAGACAAAATTAAACCTCTCTGAACGTTTTCAACCTGATAGAGTTTTCTGTTTTGAAAATAGAGCTTCTGTTTACTTTGATACAGCAACTTATTAAACGTTTAGTTGATCCTAGAGCATGTCAAACAAAAAAAGATTCAAATATCCCCTTCCCTGGGAGAACAAGATCATTTTAATGCCTCACCCCAAGGCCAACACAGACAATCATATCCCCAACCCACCCCATGCGCTGCCTTACTTTTTGCCATTTATTTCAGTTAAACTGCGTTGTTGACTGAGACAGTTGGCATGACTTGGAGTGACAGACTACTGATGGAATTAATTTCATTTTAACAAACAAAGGTATTCTCTAACAATATTATTATACCAATCTAAAATGGTATTTCTCTACAGTCTGAGTTCTCTTATATGTGATGTGTTATTCAAGTAGAATGAAAGACTTTGCTTTTGTTAGTCTTCAAAAATATCCTGGCAATTTGCTGGCAGGAAAGTTATTAGAGATTTTGTACCTCAGCTAATTTGCTGACATTAAAAATGAAGTTGAGATGTTCCTTGAAGGGGAAGAGCAAAATATTGGAAATTGTTTAAAATAAACTTAGTGAGCAGCATGGAAAAGTGCATGTTGCCTAAACAAAACATTTAGGAGAATAAACTAGTTTTACTGTACTACATGTTCACAAAATGCTTATTCACAAAGTTGAATTTAAAAAAATAATTCTGCTGTCAGCAAATTCTAGTACTCCTGCTATGTAATTGCAGACAAAAAATGAACAAATTCTCAGTGACGGAGATATGTCAAATATAAGGAAAAATAATGTCAGTGTTATTGAAGAAATAATTTTTACTTTAGATTTTGTAAACTTGGCAACAACCTCTATGGAAACAGTGCATGATGACTAAGTAAATGATTTTTACTGAGTGTGGCATAGAGAGAAACAGTTCGTCAATATGCAAGATTGCTTGCTACATTGCATTTTTCTTTGAATTTTATTTTGGCTGTACAAATTATAGAAACTGTAATTGAGCATAAATTGGCAAAGGATACTTGAAGAGAGTGGTATTAAATTTGCACCCATCATACAGTCGACTCCTGATAACTTGAACCTTCAAGGGAAATCAAAAACAGTTTGAGTTATCGGGAGCTCGATGCAAATAACCAGAAGTAAGGTAATGGGATGGGGAAGAAATGCAAATATCTTGTAACTTATTCTCACTTACCGTCAGTTGCAAACTTTATCGAAGTTTGGAGTAGGCAGCTGTTGTCAAATTGATTTGTTTTTGCCCAACAAAATATTCTTTGCAAAAGTTCTTAGGCATAAAGAATAATTTCTGGAGGAAAGTATGCTGTTTCTGAGTAATAAATATGCCTGAAAGTTGAGAAAAATGAAATATAAATAGAATGAGCTGGTCAAAAACATATAAACTACTTACCTTTGGTGCGACAGTTTGCTTTAACAGCTGTCAAACTTCAAATGTTTGGCAGAAAAACACATCATGTCTGGCACCCTTCTGTTAGAACATGTTTTTTTGTCTCGTGTCCACGCTTAGATGCAACCCATAGTAATGTTGTGATTTTCACAAAAGGATGGATGCCTGATACATTTAGTTTACTCGTCGTCTGCCCATAGTCCAGCATCTGGACTTTTGTCTTATTGGTCAAAAAACAAAAGATCCTTCGGAGCCCTGCACCGACTGGTCAAGCAACATATCTGACTTCCGGAGCTATTAGATAGGTTTTGTCACTTTCGTCTCTTCATGACAGAAACCACAAGATGATCGAGGAATTCTTTTAACGGCAATCTCAGGTTTTAAAGCTAGGTCTTAAAAGAAAAAAACCGTACTTCTTTTAATGAATCAAGTAAAGAATGAACAGAGAAAGACTTGACAGCTGAGATGAGGACGCGTTGTTACTTGTCACCAGTATGGATGTCAGCTATTTCTTCTTTGACGCTTTCTTGCTAGTACCAGGTAGAATTGTTTTCTTTGATTTCCGATCAAGTTCAACTGCATGAAAGTGTGTAAAAAAATAATATTATGACAATTTTAAACTTGCCTTTTTGCAAACAGATGAAAGACCATGAAAGATTTGTTGCCACAGAATCAATTCCTTTACTTTTGACCACTTCCAGTAAATACAGAATTCTATTGCTCCACTACTGTTTTCATTGAATTATTAATTTGTTTGATGTGACGGTTTGAACGAAGGTATCACACGGCAACGATAAGGCAGATTCGCAATAACAACATCACTAACTTGGTCTTTAAAATCTGCGATGTTTTTGTTGACGACTACTGTATGAACTTAACTGCATTCACCGCTTGACTGGAAAGTAGATAAGTACATTTCAATAATAGCTGCGTTTATCGCAAACCACTTGAATTTCCAGTAAAATCTGACAGGATAACACAATTGTTGACAGACACCTTAATTAGGGGGTGGCAGACGACTCGTAAAGTAAATGTATCAGGAGTTCTTTTTTTCCCCTTTCCCTGAAAAAAAAAACATAAAAAACAAAAAAAGCCCTACCACAGGTTTTTAGGGCCACCTTTAAATTTATGTTATCTAATTAATAATTACAATACTGACATCTGCAATTTAACTCTAAGTACGCACAATTTTTTTGGAACATAGAAAATAATCATTAATTAGGATAAAAATAGAAAAGGCTGCACGTGTAAGTGCAAAAACGGTAAAGAAAAGGCGTGAAAAAATAATGGCAGAATAAAGGAGAAAAAAAAGTGAAAGAAGCGAAAAACTACACACTAGCATTAGGAGAGCTTAAGTGTGTTTATACCAAGAAAAAATGACTTAAGTTTAGAACTAAACAAAGCAGCATCATTCTGAATTTCAGAGCTAAGGGAAGTACATATTTTGGGCCCTTGAAAACGAAGTGAAAATTTCCTTACATTTGTCCTGCGGTAGGGCAAACGGAGGGAATTCTTACTTCTAGTGTTATGTGAATGTACATCACAGTTAAGCAAAAACATGTCATTGAAACTGGAAGAAGGTACATGTAACTTTACCTATATGGAGTTTGATAATATCTTTAACTTTTAGAATTCGTAAGCTGGCACGTGAATCAAAAGAACTTCTGGAAACTATTCTAATAACCCGTTTCTGATGTAAATAAGGATAAACTAAACTATAATAGAGAATACATTAAGAGGTCTTATTAAGGCAGAAACTTGATTTTTAAATAATGCCTACTGATTTTGAGACTTTTCTTGCTACGTTCTGTATTTGAGATTTCCAAAATAAGTGTTCATCAAGTATAACTCCCAAGAACAGAACTTCATTTACACAATCTATTTCAATATCATGAATTGAAAAATGTAAGTCAAGTGTTTGCCTGTTTTGTTTTGTTTTAAATAAAATAAAATTTGATTTTTTTATGTTAATAGAAAGCTTATTAGCCTGAAACCAGCTTGATAGTTTCTTCAATTCATATTCACAATTTCCATCAGTTGATTTGGGTCGTTATGAGAAAAAAATAGTGTTGGTATCATCAGCAAAAAGTATGAAATCCAAGGCCTTTGACACATTACACAAGTCATTAATGTATTACAAAAACAATAATGAACCTAAAATCGATCCTTAGACAAGGTAGGAATCTAAGGCCATTTTCACGATGACAACATTTCACTACAACTTCCAAAATTCCTTTTATTTTTGCTTTCTTATTTAATTTTCTCTATCCCACTGAGGTTTAATAAACAATAGTCCTAATTTGCACAAGAAAACAACAAACCAAGGGATGCTGATAGGTGTAGCGAAATGACGTCATCATGCAACTGACCTATTCATACTCATACTCATTTTTCTTGGACAATTCTGTCCAAAGGGGGAAAGGTGCAATGAGGTTAACCCTGTGTGAAGTACCAACCCGTGAAACAAGGCCAGACCACTAGACTGGGAACTCCGTGCCATACTCTTTACGACAAGTGTGTGGGTTCTTTAACTTTTTAGTTGCAGACTATATAACATTGAAGATGCAGGAGACGTGGTCTGGGGCTTGAACCTGAGACCTCCCACAAGGCAGTCTGGTGCTCTACCAACTGAGCTAACCAGTTGGCGGTGTTTCCTCTTGAATTTCACTTAGAGGGAAGTCAGTCTATATAGGTTCTTTTTGAGAGGAATGACCCTAAGTGGATGCCGTTCCTAAGCAAACACACTTTCTGGTCCTAAGGGTGTATAGTTACAGGAGGTTTAACAGAACATATCTGTGAGAGGAAGAGAGTTTTGTTGATAATTATCTTATCTTTCTAACATTGTGCAATGTTAATTTAATTTGTGATGTTACTTTTTGACATTTCAGGGAAATTGTTAATCTAGACACACGGTGGCACAGCACCAAGAGCTTAATAGGAGAAGGAGATACTGCTCATAAGAATATGGCAGATGTTCCACCTTCACTCACCCTAGAACTTCCCAAGAAAAGTGATCTTCCTAACACATTCAGACCTTGGAATGAAGTCCATCTTCCAATCGACATTCTTTTGTTGACAGTGGAGGACTGTGAGTTCTTAGCCTCTTATGCGTACTTGAGAAATTCCTTTAAAAGTTACCACAAGAACCTTGGATATGTGTACTTTGGGAACATGGGTGAAAGTGGAGATGTGCCCCTAAAAGTTGCTTTGATGACATGTTCTGAAGGCTCCTCTGCTCCTGATGGCTCGCTGGTCACTGTTAAGAATGCTGTGTTGGAACTGAGACCCAAAGCTGTTTTCTATGTTGGCTGCTGCGGTGGGTTGAACCCAGAAGTCACCAAGTTACAGCTAGGTGATGTGGTGGTATCCTCTAAGCTTACAACTGAATCATTCAAAACCCCAGTGAGTAGAGATATTTTGCGCCTCGTCAGGCCTGTAGATCATGGTTGGATTCCTCCATTAAGAAATCCAGAAGATCATAAAGTTCAGGTCTGCTGTAATGGGGAGATTTTAAGTGGCATAAACCCAGTCAGTGCTAAACAGAAAAACGTGTCTCATTTTACTGAAGCTACTGCATTTGCATTTGGTGGTGAAGGTAAGATATTTTTTCCCTGTTAAATGACATCATTCTTCTCTTGTTACATTTTTTTATGAGAGGAGTGATGGCCTGTTGTGTACATCTCAAACTTTAGATCTGGAGGGTCCAGGTTAAGTAAGGCCTTGCTGCACTTTGTGCTGTTTCCTTGGACAAGAAACTTTGATTCACTGTCCCTCTCCATCCAGGTGCAGTGTAAATGGATGCTGGTTATGATCCTTTGTGATCCTGTTTTCAATCTGATCTTTTAAGAGCTATTCTATGTTTGAACAATGATGTTTATGTTTGTGTAACTTGTTGTATTTTCTATACTAAATTATGCATAAAAAATTGATTGGAGGACAGTGGTTTAAGTAGTGTTTTCCTTTGGATAAAATACAAAAGGATAGTTAAATTCTGTTAACATCCTAATGCGTGAGCTGGTTTTTTATTTGTTTGTCTTGTTTTTTGTTATTTAAATATGTTGATTTATATGTGCCTTTTAAAATCACTCTTTCCATTTTCTGCCTACCTATTTGCACAGTAAATAATGTTGTTTATGTTGTCACATCTTTATTATTCAACCCTGGCTGTGACGCTCACTTGTGGACCTTTTTGCATCTTGAATTATGAATTATTTGTTGTTTTTTTCCAGGTCTTTTTGCTGCAGCACATGATCTTAAGATTGAATGGGTGATTGTAAAAGGTATTTCTCACTTTGCCGATGGTAACAACCCTGCAGAAAATTCTTGGGAGAGTCATGCATGCATAATGGCAGCTTCTCTTGTGTCCAACATGTTGAAGGATCCATTTGTGTTTGAACAATGGCCTCATTATGAAGGTAGGTGTCATGCTCCTTTATGAAACCATGTGATAATTAAATCCTTACCTGTGTACAGAAAGTCAGTGTTTTTGGTTAAGTACTGAGGTTGATTAAAAATACTCACTTTCAAACCTTGTTAATTAATCTCTTATAATAGAAAAAGGAAGGAGTTCAACATTTTTTTGGTCAACTCACAACTGTTGGAAACTGTAAAATAGGTAAAAGAAAATTATGAGAAAAAGGTTACAAAGAAATTGGTCAGGTGGACACAAGGGAGATGTTTTCTGATAAAATTGACCAGCTGCTTATCATACTACAGGGACCGCAGAGCAAGGTGAAAAATGGGAGGGCTGACAATTGAAAATAATTTTTCAATAAACGACCAACATACACGGTCAGTTCAGATTCAATGCAAGAAAAGACGCGATTACAATTTTAGTATAGAAAATACTACACTAAAGTGATCTGAAAAATTTCTAACTATGGCCGTTCGGGCGTTCACTGTTCAAGTAATGTAATTCTTCTTGCCATCGAATATTTCATTGATTCGAAAGGAGAAAGACAAAATATAAAACTTTTATCAACTCAAAACAACTACTCAGCTTTGTTTGGCTTGAAAAAGCTAGTAATTTTCTTCATTTCGTCTGGTAAAACTGATAAAAAAAACTCTGCCGGAGCTGGAAGTACAAAACACGCTGCCGAACGAAACGAAGGGGTGGCCAAGGCATGGCGTTCAGATCAAGGGGCAAGTCGGCCCCAGGGCACAATTACCGCAAAAAGCACAGGAGCCCCACAAAATGCCTGGCGTTTGAAATTAAAGAAAATACAGAGAATATAGAGGAATATAGACGGAAAAAAACTTGTTTCAAGTATTTTTTTTATTTTAATTATTTTTCCTTTTAGCGCAAAAAGTGGGGGCGGCGGCGCAAAAAAGTGGTGGGGCCGCGGCCCTACCAGCCCCTCCCCCTCCGCGGTCCCTGTACTATTATTTTTAGGCAGTAAGATTTGTGGGTTGGTACTCTGCAAGTGCACACTGAGAGACCTAAAGTCTAAAATGACCTTTGTTTAATTAGAGCATAAGTGGTATCTGTTAGGAGCCTGTAAGGTTGAGTGGGAATTATTTTGTTACTCAAGTGATTTTTGGTGCCTCTTACGCATTAAAATGAATTTCTTCCTTGCCACAAAGTTAGATTCTGTTACTTTCTAGGGATACTTTTGGATTTTTTTTACAAAACCCTTTTTTTTGTTTTGTTTTGTTTTTTGTTAATTTTAATTTTTTAGAGGGGGGTATCTCCTTTTGGTACCTTCCAGGGGTTAAAGTGAATTTCCAACATGCCCGCAAAGCAAGATTCTGTACCCTCTAGGGACGCTTTTTGTTTTTATTATTATTTTTTTTTTTTTGACAAGCACCCCTATTATCTTTAATTTTTTATTTTTTGTAAAGCAGTTCTGCTATTTTTAAAGGGAACTATCTCCTCCTCCTTTTGGTACCTCTTATAGAGCTTAAGAGGGGAGACTGGTTAAAATTTGGGGGAAATAATGTTAATTTGGGAAGGAAATATATGAGGCTAGAATAGGTATACACATAAACCAGTTAGTCTGCTAATGGGATCAGAGGCATCTTGTTGTGGTGGTGGACTATCTGGTAATCGTCTACCAATATTATTTACTTCATATTTTAATTTTTAACAACCACCAATATTCCAATATTTTCCCATTTTTTCAAAATTTTAAACATCTCCCCCCCCCCCCTAATTTTTATACATTAAAAACATTCGAAAAATCATCCGAAAATTCTTACATAATTAATGACTGCATCTTAATTGAGTCATTTTTGAATTGAAGGAAATCTTGGTTAGATATTTAAGAAAATGAGTGTAAATCAATGAAAAATAATGCTTTTAACCAGACTCCCCCCTTGAAATGAATTTCTTCCATGTCTACAAAGCAAGATTTTTGTACCTTTTAGGGATACTTTTGAATTTTTTATTTGACTAGCACCACAGTTTTTTAATAGAGTAGTATCTCCTCCTCCCTCCCCCCACGCCTTGAGAACACTATAACCAACTTAACAGGCCTGTCACTACGGGCTGAGAGGCATAGATTCCGACTGGTTACCCCTGGTTACTTAGATCATCCTAGAACTCTACCCTCTGATTGGTTGATAGCTATGGTTTTGAAAGGTCCAGTAAATATTTGGGGGGGGGGGGGCTTATTTCCTGTTTTGAAAATGTTTTTGAACTGTAACTGCTTACTAGATGCCTTTCAGAGTCAACTCAATGTGCAGGAGAAATCTTGCGTAACCAAGTTTAAAAGATACATTTATTGTCTAAAACTGTGCACACTGCAACCAGGCATCCTTTAGTGAATTAAAATGTCAGTATCACCCACAATTAAGTAAAAGCTAAGATGTAAGCTTTCAGTCCCAAGACAAGCTGCTCAATGCTTTTTGTCATTAAAACTTTATTATTCAGACTCAGAACCTAAAATGTGAGTGGTAAGAAAACTGACAGATTGATAAACATTTTTCCCAAATACTTTTGAATAACTGTTGTTTTAAATGTCTCACTTCAATTTTTATTCTATTTTGTTTAACTCACAGACCTGTCAGCAGGGAAACAGCCCTCTAGCTCTACGGCCAATAAGGGGGAGTTACCAGGTACTATTTTATCCAATAAAGCAGAAATGGTACCAGACGTACAGTAGATTAAACACGCTTACTTTAATATGAAAATGACTTTTATCGTTTGTTATATTGTAATACAAAATGAACTTTATTGTCGCAGTTGTTTATATTTATTTCAGAAATAAGTAGCAAAGAAGAAGTGTAATGTGATACTTTAAGCGCCAAATTCTTTAGCCTGAAATTCATCCAATTGCTTTGAGTCGTTTTCTCCTCTCAACTCGAGGTAATCGGATGAAATTCAGGCTACAAATTCTTTTTCTCGTTCAGTTTTTCTGTTAGAATTTTGCTAAGGTATTTTTAACCTGCGTTAATCCTCGAGGCCAGTTATACAAAATAAGAATTATTTTTAGTGCTCAACCACAAACGTCACTAACAGCTTTGGAGAGGTAGCCCTCTATTGGTGTCTCCTCCCTGAACCTCTCTTTGTGGGGTAACGCCCATTTACAGGTGCTTTACTGATGTAGTCTTCAAATACATTATTTTACATATAAATGTTACTCGGCCAAGGCTGCCCATCCTTCCCTATTCAAAATTTGTAATTGTGATAATTAATGATTCTTTATTTAACTTACGGTGAAATTACATTTTTAACTTTTTTATAACTGAAATTTGTGCGACGTTATAACTTTATGATATAAGAGAAATAATAAGTGCGAGCTGGGGAAGCTAAGTAAACTGTTACGTTTTTTAGTTAACTCCCCATCCATATTAAAGTCAGTGTGTAAGCAGGTGAAAAAGAAGAAAATAGAATAGATAAATGAATTAATAAATTAAATTAATAAAGAGCATTCTTTCTACGTTTGACCACAGTATTTATATTCCTACACTATATTCTGGTGTTTTAGAGCCCTGATATCTACATGCACTGTTACTTACATTTCTGTTGAGGATAATTTGTTTTTAAATATGGAAATTTTATTTATATTTGGTGATCTGATCAGCTTATATAAATGAGGGCCTATATTTTGTGCGTTAACTACCTCCCTTTAACTTTCCTCGCCTATTATAATATCAAGTTATTAAAGAACAATTCCTTAAAAAGAGGAACGTAAAATTTTCCTCAACAGATTCTCGTTGCCTCGAGGAGTGCCAGAAACAGCTGCGATCAATTTATGGAACCAACAGCAAAGTCAAAATCGTTCCGTGGGACCAAAGCTCTGCCGTTCATATTGACAAAGTTTACACCCAGTTGTCTTGGCTTATGGATGAGAAGGATCCCAGCGGAGTAACGCAGAAGAACCTTCAACACTACACCGACATTTTTGACGGCGGAAGACTTCATCAAACGCCTAAGCGCATTTTGGTCCACGGACGACCAGGTATCGGCAAGACCGTTTTTACGCAGAAAGCTACATTCGACTGGTCCCAGCACAGATTTGAAGGAAAAATAGGAAGATTTGATCTTGCACTTTTGGTCAAATTACGCGATGTTTGTAACCTCAATGATGTCCCTGCCATTCTGAAGGATGCTAATCTTCTCGCGAGTGATGGCGCAGTTTCCACTGACAACCTGTACGATTACGTTCGTCGCCACCAAGAAAACGTGTTGCTTATTTTGGACGGCTACGATGAATACGTACACAGCGCAGAAAGGCAATCACCTGTACTTAAAATCTGGGAGAAAAAGCAGTTGAGGGATTGTTGTGTTATTATAACATCTAGAGACATGAAAGGAGAGGGATTGAAAAGTTCCAGCGATGCTCAATTTGAGATCGACGGTTTTGACCATAAGCGACAAGAAGAGTTCGCCTGTAGATTCTTGAAAGATGATCAAGATGTGAAAGAATTTTTTCGATACTTAGAGCAACAAGACCTGGAAGATGTAGCAAAAATACCTATTTTGCTTTTAATGTTGTTGTTAGTTTGGAACGGAAAGGATCGTGAAGGACTACCTTCATCACGGGTGATGGTGTACTTTCAGTTTCTACAGACTATGTTTAGTCATATGTCTGAAAAACATAGAAAGCCGGCGGAAAAAGTTGACGACCACATTCAAGAACTCTGTAAAATAGGAGAACTAGCCTTTGACGCACTTCTACATGATTTACTTTCTTTTCCTGTCAGTAAACTGCCGGATCATGGTTTGGCTGAGAAACTGATCGAAGCCGGGTTGTTTCAGCTGCTAAACATGTCCACTCTTAAACCGTGCAAAGCCGTGCACTTCATTCACAAATCCATGCAGGAGTTTTTGGCTTCTTTATTTCTAAAAGAAGAACTGTTATCTCAAGAAAGTAAAAACAATTCCCTATTCAAAGTCGACTCAATTGAAAAGATCTTCAAGTTGAATGAAGTTTTAAAATTTGCTGCTGAAATGTCAGAAGAAGCCGCGCGCGAGATCTTGATTCATCTGTTGGAAATGGCGGCGAAGGAAGACGGAGAGTACAGCTTCGACAACCAAGCACCGTCAGTCAAAGATTTGTCTAATGAACAAAAAAATCTTCTAACTCTATGTACACAGTTTTTCTTCTACTGCTCAGCAGACACGAGAACAGAACTTTTCCCCACTTTTCTTTCTAATCTAGGAGGTGTTTTTTTAATAAATCCTGCCCAGCTGAATATTGCAGCAAAGGAAAATTTTGTGAAAACTACCGCTTCACTTATGTACATATTTTTCTCTGATAGCGACCACTATACAGAGCAAAGTTATAATAATTTAATTTGTTTAACACAGCAATTAAACGCTGTTATAGTTAGTAGAACAGGAGAACAAAAAGCATCAGAATTTTTGAATGTATTTCCATGGCGTAGAGTCAAAGAGTTTTTTTTAATGAAAGAAGAAAACAACACTCACCTTTATTTTACTAAAATTGTAAAAGATACCCTCTTAAAAGTCATTTCTTTTCCGTTTAAAATGGTAAAGACGTTAGTTAGTTTAGAAGAGACAACAAAGAAGACAAACATGAATGGTGATGAGTCAAGTGAAGAGAGCAGCAGCAGCAGCTGTTCAAAGCGTCATGGTCTCTCCAGGGTTCGGAGGATTGAAGCTCGGTGGGTGCACAGGTCAGAAGTGGAACAGCTGATTGAGATGATGCCGTTTATCACCGCTCCACACGAGATAGAGGTTTGGGGTGAACTACACCGTGAAGTGTTTGATGCTGAGGTAACAGAGTCTCTACTGAGGAGCATCCCAACAACACACAAACTGGAGACATTAAGACTCTGTAGTATCAATGTAACATCATCACCTGCTGTGGAGTTCATCAGCAGAGTATTTGAACAAGATCTTCCAAACTTGAAGTGGCTCGACATGTCAGACAATCCTCTTCTGGGTGCAGGAGTCGACAGCTTGATAGAACATCTCAGCTGCGCTCCTCACCTGGAGAAACTGTACCTTTGGGGAGTGAAGATGACTCCACAGCAGGTGATGAATCTCACATTAGCTGTACAGCAGCACAGAAACATCACTGAACTGCTGTCATACTACCACGTAAGTTTTTCAATTTTATCGCAATTTGTTTCTTTATTCTTTGTTTACAGTTTATTTCTACTCAGCTCTTGCCTTTCGCCATTTTCCTTTCTTTGTCATTTTTATACTCGACAAAACACAAGATTTGCTTTTGAAATCAAATCACAAACTTTAGCAGATTCAAAGTATCATTTCAAATTCATTTCTTTCAACTGATTAAACTAACTCCATAAAATGTTTTAACTGAGAACGTTAAGAACAAGTAACTTTAGCTGATATTAAAAAAGGAATTGAAGACAAGAAGAGAAATTTCGTATCTTCAAGCAGCCATAAGATGATATTATTGGGTGATAACAAGAACTTCCAGCAAAACAAAAGCACATAATTTCCACAGTATTAATTTCTGAATCAATTTTAATTCATACCTTTTCATAAAGAAACAAACAACAATCATAAAAGCAAATGAAAGATGTTCAGTTCATGTTCAATTCAAACAAATGAGCAAAGAGTAAACACATTGAACTCACAGTTTCATATTTATCGTCCAAGGCTCCTATAAAATCAGTTTAAGTCAAGTGAAGTTCCTTTGAAAGTCCAGAAAACAAACAAGTCTTTTTTATAGCTGTTCTTTTGTTAGTTCTTGAGCGTTTCTTTGGTAAATACTGGTCCTTGCAGTTCGGTGAAGCGTTGGTTTTTGAAATAACAACCCGCACAAAAAAATTGTATCTCCGAGACAACGGTTGAAAGCAACACCGAAAAAAATTTTCGTTACAAGTAAACACTTCGCTGTTCTCCACTGTATAGCACAAGTGTCCGTTGCATGATTTTCATCGCGTAAATAGCATGAGCTGGTTTTCAATTTTCCAAGAACACTCGCCATACAAATCAAATCCTGCGGAACTTTGGGCTTTCGTGAAATATCCTAATAAATGATGTTTCTTTGAGCTTCGAACAACTCCTTAGCATATTCCTGAGTAAAAAGAGATGAATCCCTGTCTTGTGTAACATTTCCTTGATGTTTTCTTATTAACTTTTGAGTTCATCCTGAACAGTTTGCCGTTGAAAAGCGAACTGAACAAACTACAAAAACAACAAACGATGTCATTCAAAGCCTAGTGACGTAACAGAAGCTGATTGGTTAAGTCCACCTCGGATGATTTTCACGTGATGACATTTTCCCGCCTTTCGTTTCATTACGTAACAGATTCCCGCCAGCTAAAAAATACACTGTGATCTGTGAATTTTGTAAGGCTGGATATATTTTCAAAAGGAAAAGAAAAAGGAGTTGTTAATTTTGATCTTGATTCTACTGTTTTGAATGCGAATTTCTTGTCCGTGCGCCTTGATAAAGATAATGTTCTCTTTCCAATCCCGCCGAGAGGGGAGAGGTACAAGGGGGTAAATCTCCCTCCTCCCTAAAGTTGGTTTAAAAATTGGCGACGGGTAACACTCGTTTCTTGAACTTAGTCGTAAAGGAAGTTTTGTGACCTTTAGCGCTTCGCCTCAACACCAACATACCACACAAAGATGGCGTAACCATCGTGTGTCTAGTGCTGTTCTGGCCCCTCTCTCTCTATGTCACGCAACGTCGGAGAGAGAGGGTCCTCCCCCACATCCCTAATCATCACGGAAGAGAAGACAGAATCTTCGGCAAGAAAAATTTCTCTCAGCAAATAACTGTAAAGACGCTTAAAAATAGTTTGTCAGTTGTTGTTAACACATTAACCTTGTGCTCGTATTATTTTTGACAAGGTACCAGGGTCGAATCCTGCTCAGTACCCTTTCTTTTTTCCTTCTGTCTTTCTCTTTTTTGTTTCGGTTTCGTTTTTGTTTTGTTTGCCTATTTCTTTTGTTGTTGATGTTTGTTAAATATATACCTTCTAGAGCAAAGATAGTATATTTATGGATAAACAATCTGAATTTCTATCGTTTCCTACAATTTTCATTCCTTTTTTAATGCAATATATTCTACAAAACTAAAACAGTAGCCACATGCAGTCACAAACTACCTTTTATTATACAGGCCAAGTTTTGGCTGTTGATCTTTGCTTTCAGCACGCGAGGCTTGTTTTCAACTTAGTACATCTTGTCAAAGTTGTTGTCATAAAAACAATTGTCTTTCGTTGGTCACTGTAATCGCATTGTACTTTAAATGAAGGTTTTCAAATGTGTACACGTCCACACTTTATTAAAGGGAAATGGGTTGTTTTAAGTATTGTTTTGTATTTTGTTGAAGGATGATAAAGGAAACCCCAAACCTGAACATGAATGGCCATCAGAGAACTACTGGAAAGGGCGGTACCCTCTCTTCTTTCGTAATTTATCACCTGAATCAGCGTATGAACAGGAGCAGGTTAGTCATCACTCACCTATTTTTGTGAAAGTTTATTTATTAATATTAGTGAGACTTTCAGTGTTTGTGTGAACAGTAGTTCTATTTTTCTGTCCGTCGGAGATAATCAAATACGCTCAGGAGCGTTCATTTATAAGTCGCCATTACGGAGGATTTCCGAGCTGGTGATACTGAGTTAGTTTTTAATACAGTTAAAACCCGCGTGTAAGAACCTAGTGGCTTAATAACCTGCTGGCAGAAATTTGCTTCTTTAATACCAAACAATGATGAAAACCAGGCCAAAGGAGATCAAGCAGGTTCTTATATGTAGGTTACAGTTAAATAATAAGCTTATTCATCATCTAAAAAAGAGATTGAACAGGAACAGGTTAGTCACAAGCTTCGTTTGTTTAAGTTTATGCATCAGTCATTTGAAACTCCGGCCCCCCGGCCCCCGGGACTTAGCAGGGAATTTAACATTGGTTTAATGGTAGAACACCGCCAATGTTTTCCGCTCTTCGGGCGAAGTAGTTTGTTAAAAGCCCCGTATAGCAGGGAATTAGTAAAGTGTAGTTCTAGGCTCGATTTCAAACGCTCTGTCCGATCTGGTATTCTGTATTTTTTAAAATTCAAACCATTGGACCTGTTAATAGAAACTCTCGATTGGATTCCTTCAATGTAATGGGAGAGGAATCGGGAAACTTAGAAAGCGCTTTTGGGATTAATTTATTGTCGTTTACGTACGAGGTGAACAAATGAGACTCAAATGAGATTTGTGAAGTCCTTGTAAGGCAACGCTCGACCAATGTGTAGGACGTTCTATACACTTTCTTTCTGTGTCTGAGACTAGGGCAACCTGTTTTGTGCCTTCCTGCCCTGTTTCTCCTATGTTTTAATATTATCATTCTCTGCGGCATCATCTCTCTTCTGCCGCCATACAAAACTTTGGGAAACGAGGCTTTTCCTTTAGTCACTCATGTTAAAACCTTGCTTCCGAAAATTAGTATTACTGTTTAATCCCCGCTCATGACATGAGTAAAACAGGTATTTGTTAATTCCCCCGCCACCGGGGCGAACATGTTAAATGTGCGTTAAATCCCGGCATTGGCCGCGTTAAATTCCCGCTATCTCCCGCTATGCCTTGAGGGTCGGGGGGCCGGGGTTGCAGTTGACTAATGCATTATTTACTTTTTGTAGTTTTATTTTTCTGTCCCTCAGAGATATAATCAAACACGCTTTGGAGGCTTTGTTAATTAGCGTCTTTAACTGAAGATTTCCGAGTTGGTGGTAGCTAATCTTGGCAGTTACGTTAAAAGGTTTTAAATTGAGAACCCGTGCATTAAGAATAGTTTTATTTTATTGTTGCAGGCTATTCTAAGGACCCTCTTGCTTTTACCTGAATCGCCTGATCTCATTTCCGATTTATCATCTGAATCAGAGATGAAACTGGTTCTGTTTGATCGAAGTTTTTGTTTTCCTTGAACTAAATTGATTTCGGGTTCTGTTAAGAATAAACTACAGATAAAAATTGGCTGTTGTTCCCTCAAAGGTCGCACTCAGTTGATTTTAGGTTAAAAGTAGCCCGTTTCCCCACTATCCGAATGCTTGGAACAGGCTAGCCAAAAGTGACTTTTACCTCGGAAAAAATAGATATTTCCCTTTTTTTAAAAGCTGCTTAGGGAAGATATCATTGACATTTTGCGCCAAGTAGACCTATTGACTTTTGCAAAAAAATAAAATTGTTTAACAGTTGGTAGATCGACAAAGAAATTAGACACCTTATCTATGATTTAGATAGGCAGTTCGTTTTGTCCTCGTAAACTCATTTAAAGTGATCGATAACTCTCCGTCTGGTTCGGATGGGTAGAGTGTTTTGCAGCAAGTCCAGTCACAACATAAGGTTTCGCACCTTAGTTGTAATTAGCTCACCCCAAGGCATTCACTTTACAATCATACAAGATTTGTGGCAGATGCTATCTCTAAAATGCCTTACAACGACAGGCGGAAATCACGAAACATAAAAAATGATTGTTCATGTGTTCAATCACGTGACGGCACACAGGAATTTAACTTGAAAAAGTTGGCCCAATTTTTTCAAGTTGCAATCCGTTTCCATCCTGGCCTTCAAAAGACAAAGTCTTGCACTTGTAGTCGAGGTATAGTAGTATGTAACGTCATTTTAAATAGAACTGAACTATTATTTCGGGGTTTTCTTTCATTCTAATGTGTGTTCGTTTTAAAATAAGTGCGCTATTGGGGGTTAGAGTCACATATAGAAGATGGATGGTGTTTAGTATAAATGTATGATTTTTGCCAGAACGAGGGAGAAGTCATTGAATCTGAAGATGAAACGTCATCATATGAATCAGAGGAGGATCAAGAACAGGTTGGTTGCCGATATTTTTTTATAAAGGTTTTGTTTGAGCCGGGACTGTGCAATAATTATCAGGAGAAGGAGGTTGTTAGAAGGAAGGGGCGTTGTCCATTGCTTATTCGCCATTTACACCAACTAAACATGTTTAATTAAACTAAATTTTGAAACTGAATTAAAAATAGCAAAAGTAAACTGGAACACAGGCTTTTACACCATATTCAAATGAACTTTTACGCGTTCCTTAATTGCACTAAATTTGCAATCGAAAAAAGTACAGTAGGCAGCCTTTATAAAGAAAACAAAGTTAAACCGTGTTTAACTAAACACCTTTTAAACATGTTTAAGCTTTAGTGTGAATGGGGCATTAGTCTAGCTCAAGCTAAGTGCAAGTCAAAGTAAAATAAGTTGTATAATACTGTACAACTATGGGCCTGGTTAAAATTGTAAATAGCGCGCATTATATACTTAGTAAACAACAAGACAGTATTAAAATCCTCGCGAATTTGCCTACTACAAGAGTAAAATAAGTTGCATAATACTGTACAACTATGGGCGTGGTTAAAATTGTAAATAGCGTGCGTTATTATACTTAGCAAACAACAGGACAGTATTGAAATCCACGCGAAGTTGTATCCTTAATATCATATCGGATAACTGTCGATGTCTGAAGCGGGTATATGTCATGGTAAGTTCCACTTTTTTTTAGTCAAAGCTGAGTTGAAATTTTAATCGAGTTTCCTCAATCACTTTTTTCCGACTTGGAACTCTATAAGACATTCTATTAAATGGAAGAGTAATTATGATCGGTTTTTGGACATATTTTGATAACAAAAGGATGTTCCGCTACCTCAACCGATACAAGGAGGGAAGCGTTTTAAATAACCATTTGCAGATGTCATTACAAAGGCAGCACTTTCTTCTCAGTGATTTATAAAGACCCTGACTATTGGTCCGGCCGGGGTTCGAACCCGCGGCCTCCTGCTTAGCAGACCGGCGCTCTCCCAACTGAGCCAACCAGGCCTTGGCTAAGATAGAGCAGCCTTACCAGCAAGCTTTAGGAAACTTTTACGTAGGGTAAAAAAGAAAATAACTTACATAGGCAAAGACTGACTTAAAAAAACTAGCGAATAACTGAGGCAATGACTAGTAAACTTTGCCAAACCGGAAGAAATCTGAGCGTAATAACCAATCATCCAAGATTTCTCTAAAATGTCTAACAACGGCAGGCGGAAATCACGAAACAAAAAAAATGTCCAATCAAGTGACGGCACACAGGAATTAAATTTGAAAAATTTGGCCCATTTTTTTTTCAAGTTGCAATCCGTTTCCATCCTGGCCATCGAAAGCCAAAGACACACACACTTATAGTCGAGGTTTAATAGTACGTAAAGTCATTTTAAATAGAACTGAAGCATTATTTCAGGGTTTTCTTTCCGTCCAATGTGTCTTCGTGTTAAAATTTTACGCTAGTGGGGTTACAGTCACATATAGAAGATGGATGGTGTTTAGTATCATAAAATGTATGATTTTTGTCAGAACGAGGGAGAAGTCATTGAATCTGAAGATGGAACGGCATCATATGAATCGGAGGAGGATCAAGAACAGGTGGGTTGCTGATATTTTTGATAAAAATTTTGTTTAAGGGACTGTGCAATAGTTATCAGGAGGAGGAGGTTAGGTCGTAAAAAGGAAGGGGCGTTGTCCATTGCTTATTCTCTATTCACAACAACTAAACATGTTTAACTAAACTAGGTTTTGAAACTGAATGAAAAACAGCAAAAGTAAACTAGAACACTGGCTTTTAAACCGTGTTTAGGTAAACAGGATAGATACCATCTCTAAAATGTCTAAAAGGGCAGGCGGAAATCACGAAACGTAAAAATGATTGTTCATGTAATTTGTAACGACGTGACGGCACACAGGAGTTAAACTTGAAAAAGATGGCTCAGTTTTTTTCAAGTTGCAATCCATTTTTATCCTGGCCGGCATTGAAAGCCAAAGACACAGACAATTATAGTCGAGGTATAGTAATACGTAAAGTCGTTTTAAGTAATGGTCCAGATAAGAAGGAAAGGACCAAAACGCAGTGAACACGTTGGAATGCAAAAAGGTGCTAACTTTACTATTGTCTCTACTAAGGTTCTGATTGGTTTAAACATCAAATTTTACGAAATCTTCGCAAAGCAGCATGTACATTAATCCCTTTTTTTCTATCCAACTTCCTTATAACAAAATTTCGTCTGAGTCTAAGTAACACAGAAATCGTATGTGCGGATCATGTAAAATTGTGAACATTTCTTGGCCATTGTTTGCAACTCTTGTGATTGGTCGAAATGTTTTAACACAAAAATACAGCCTTTAAAAGTGGAGTTTAAATACATTTTCTTTCGTAAACAGCCTTTTTGTAGATTTATGCACTCTCTGCGTAAAAATGAAAACATTTCTATGTGAGGAAAGCGTATTGCGCCACAACAAAAGAAATTGCTTCCCTTCTTACCTGGATCATTACTTAAATAGAACTGAAGTATTATTTCAGGCTTTTCTTTCCTTCCAATGTGTGTTTTCCCTGCCAGCAGAGGTCTCTTTTCCCTGGTATTCAGCAGGCGGGGGGGAAAGAGTCCTCTGCTAGTAGGGAAATGTGTATTTAGGGTTCTAAAATAATTCCAAACTATCGTGACATTGCATGCCTTTTAATGGCGGTACAAAGATGATGAACCTTTCGTTTTTTCACTTTATAGGAGATGGGAAACCAGACCGCCGAGTCCCAAGTCTTGTCCACTGATGAGGTAAAGCTTTCCTACGACGTTGTTTTTAAACAGCGTTTAAGACAGATCCTCGCTGAAAACAGAATTTGTTAATTGGGCTTCTACTTGCGCGAGGCTTTACGGCATCTCCGTTTGTTAATTGATGTTGATGACTTTCTGACGTGTTTTTTACTTACCATTAGAAACTAAATGTGAGGTGTCGTTTTCTGATTTGTGACAGGACTTGCGAGGGAAAGCCTTCGTGGAAAATTGTTGTAAAAGATAGATAATTAAGCCTCAACCCTTGTCTTGAAATTTAATTTCGAAGTTTTGTGCCTTTGAATGTCGTTTCATGATTTATTTTGAGGTAGAACGAGAAAGGGAACCTCAAACTTGAAGATGTAGGATCGTCCGCTGGATCCGACGACCCTCAAGAAAAGTTGAGACATCATATTTTGTAGAAATAAAAAAAAGATCTATTCTTTGAAGCATTTCACCACTATAATGTTAAAAAGATTTTAAAAAATTATACGAAATGGATGGTAAATAGTTTGACTGTGTGGTTTGTGGCAGGAAGAGGAAGGAATCGCCGAATCTGAAGACGAAACGTCATTACCAACAGAGGAAAATCAGCAGCAGGTGAGATAAAAGATTTGTTTAAGAGAAAATGGGACGTTTCCAGTAAAAGGATTTTACAGTGGGACCTCTGGAAATGCTGGGTTTTTTAAATTAACTTATTAACTATACCTCGATATAACGAAGATTTCAGTAGTTTTCCATAAAATTCGTTAAATGGAGGTGTTCGATATAAAACGAACCCTCGATATAAGGAAAAAATTTTTTCCAGTCCCTTGGCACTTCGTTAAATCGAGGTTCCACTGTGCTATAAAACTAATGACTTTTTGGCTGTTTCAAGGCTAGCCTGAGAAAACAGCCGACATTTGGCGACGCTACCACTGGTTTCCCCGCCAAATGACGTCTGAGAAACCAGCGTAGAAATTCCATACTGATGACGCGTCACTACCCAGATCTGGGTAGTGACGCGTCATCAGTATGGAATTTCTGCGCTCGTTTCTCAGACGTTGTTTGGCGGGGAAACCAGTGGTAGCGTCGCCAAATGTCGGCTGTTTTCTCAGGCTATTTCAAGGCCATTCTCAAGTTACAGTCAAGCCAGGTCAAGCGTGCCGCCATAGATATCATTAAATGAATCGATTATTTGAAAAATGAATCCGTTAGTCGTTGTTGGAACCAGTATCAAATTCAACTCTCGATTCCTGCATGCGTAGTGAGCAAATAATTTCTACGATTACTTCTCTGTATTCGGTCAGATTGAAAAGTCTTTGAGTGGATAAAATTGCTCTGAAGGCATTTACATTAAAAAACTGAGCTGGTAGAAATTTTGTAGTAAAGGTACGCGGTGTCAGAATCATTTTCTGCGAAGTATTTAGGCCGTCGAAACTGATTAAAACTCTTAAGAGATTATAGGAAGACCCGCTCCACAAAGACTAGTCACTTTCCCAACCAAAATATTTTCCCAGTGACAAAATATTTACCAGTTTTCGATGCGAAAATGCCCCTAACAAAACAAGCAAAAAATGAGGAGATGGTTGTATTGTCGTCCACCTGCTCATACAAACATCTGATTTCTTCCCCCTGTATGATGTTAAAATCGCGCAGGAAAGTCCAGGTTTTGATGTGTTCTCCGGTTTGCCGTCAAACGCGATAATTACTTTAATTTGAGAATCGTTCAAGACAATGTTTTACTCTTTACCAAAATATCTTAACGAACTCGGTGCGTTTTCTCGAATAAGCACTACTCTTTCAATCAGTGAAGCGGTTTATGTCGTTTATATCCCAAGCAGCGATTATTCGGAAAATGTTACAGCAAAAAGGTGTAGGGTCTCAATTTCAGCAGCACGCGCGAATTATCGGAGATTGAATTCACTTAGCCGTGTTTAACTCCACGCAGATTTAGATATTTGATTTACTATTACTTGAAGTGCATAATCTTGGCCGAGCGCTTGAACGATTTTTTTTTTTTGATTTAGCGAATTTAATGCACTTCTAAATGTAACGCGGCTTTTTAATTCTGTCTTGTCCCTAACCTTTCACTGAGTCACGGATTCGGTGAAATTCAAACAATGGTATGAAGTGTGGAATGAGCGTAAACGTTTTTTAATTTCAGGATGACGAAGAGTACACCAGACCTTCAGGGGAAGGCCGTCAGAATCCCACAGGAGAAGAGAGACTGTCCCGTGCATCATCTTCTAAAACTGCGCGCAAAACAGCATCTCGAACTTGCGTCATCATTTAACTTTGAACATGCTTCCCATGGCCCCGTGCAGGCCTGTGTCGAGGAAGGCGGGAACTTGGCTGGATACAAAACCTTCGGCGCCTACGTCACCGGCTTGCCTCTCTGAAGGAGATGCGAGAGCACTACGGTACTTGTCCGAAGCAATGGTCGAGCGGTGGTCTGGGAAAGAAACTCTAGAAAATTTTTGTTTCTGCAAGCCTCACTTTTGTTACGTTACTTTATCCTGTTTGTTTTGGATTAGGTTGAAGTTTAGTTTGTTTAGGGCTTATTTTTTAGATTTCACTTGCTGTCTGTTTTTTTTATTTAAAAACGTGATTCACGGGTTCTTTATTTCAGAGCTGATGTAGCAGGTTTGCTTGCTATGTTCTTTGCTCAAATGGCGACTTCAAAAAGTGCCACAATACTTTATATCTATGTAGGTCAGCCTACATGGTTCGATTGTAGGCCTGATTTGATCTGCAGTCTCGGATTCAAAAGAATTCAATTATTACAGTCTCTAGAATGGCACAGTAGAATTCTGAACACCTGTAGGAAACTTACGCTACAACATGTGCTTTCAGTAAAAGATACTTAAAACCTAAAACTAAAGAAAGTAAAAAGAAGGCTTCTGGACACAAGAACTTAAAACTATACTTAAGCTATGTGGTATGCAAACTGCGCTGACGATATCGAGACGTTTTTTTCATAGCACGTACATTTCGTGCTAAGAACAAGACGATTAAAACTAAATCATGATGTACTTAAGTGAGCCCAGCCTGTTGCATGTTTACCTCAGACAAGATAATTCCACCTCCAAGCTTTGTTTATAAACAAACCACATTTTCACTGTTCGTGTAAGGCTATTTTTTTCAACTCTTTGGGAATATCAATTCATTGTGGATTGAAGTGGTGCAATTTGCCAGTCTGATATAAGTAGGTGGCTTGTAGGGTAAATCATTTAGCTTACATGACATCCTCGTCACGTCAGTCGATCCTTATCATTTTGAGTCTTGCCAAGGGTTTGGTTGACTTACTAACATCACTGTGATCAACGTGTTTTGTTTCTTATAAAGGGCAGGAACTAGCTTGGAAAAAGCTTTGCTAGAAGGAGAATTTATGTAGCTCAATTATCGTAGGGCGTTTTTAATGATTTTACCACCAAGTGGCAGTTTCAAATTTCACCTGTTATATGGTTTTGAATGTATTTTGACTGCATGCTTAATTTTATTATCGTCTAGAGGTTTTGCTGTTGTTGTTTTACATTATCAGTCAGAAACATGTAAATAAGAAATTAAGGAAATAATGACGGAAATAACAAACTGTTTTATTTCTTTTAATTAATTTACAGCCATTGCCGGCTGTTAGAATTAAATTTCTAGTTTTATTTAATCGGCGAACTGCACAGCAAGCGTATGTTGTGGAGCCTTCTTATTGTAATAGGTATTCAAGTTACTAAACTAAATGCTTAACGTGCATTTTACAGTCTAGTGTTTTTCTTTTGTTTGTGATAACCTCAGGAGAGATACAGACCTTTTGATGCTGGCACCCTCCTAAATACTAGTTCACACGTCGTTGACCAGGATCTCATATCACTGACATCGTTTTAGTTTATTGTCGTTCCTTGTTAGTGAGTAGTGGGATTTTAACACGGTGACAGTAGATTTCTTTCTTTGTAAACCATAAATATCCCCTGATGGCAGTTAAAAGAAGAAGACTTCGAACAGATGAAAAACAATTTTTCACCGTTAGGGTCTACAGGGTCAGCTTAGTTGGACTGCAAAACGGCCGGTTCGTCGTGGGCACAATTCCCGGGGCAGAACCCCGGATACTCAGGGTTTTATGATTTAACTGAGTAAAGAAGGTATCTACTGCTTTTGCCTGCAAATACACTGCAAAACGGTTCGTATTTTTGTGTATTCAAGTTTGCGCGAACAGTCAAACCAAAGGTTTGGAACGAGTCTTAAAATGGAGAGCGAGACAGGGAAGGACGCTAAAAATACGGGCGTTGGGTGTGTGAGGCTTCGCGCGCGGAAGTCTCTCACGCTACGCCAGTTCTGACTGATTTTGAGAAAAGACCCGACTGTTTTGCAATCTACCCTGCAAACGAACGACTAGACTGACCTTCACTCGGGTGACCACGTAAAGATGGCGCTCCTGTCTCTTGACAAGAAGTCAAACAGTGCCATCAATTAGCACATGCTTCTTGAAATGACACCATTAGATAAAATAGTTTTCCTGTCATGTAAGAGAGGACCAGGATTTTCGATCAGTCCCCATCTTTCTCACATGATGGATTCGAAGTTCGAATCCACTCGTATAGGGATTTTGGGAGAGAAGACCCCTGGGTTTATCATTTGCCTTTTTCTAAGGCAAAGTTTTAAAGATGTCTACTTTCCGTAACAAGACGCCATAGTAGAGGCAACAGGATTGCTCAAGGCTCCTCTTAAGATGAGCAATGTTTTTCTCTTTCAAGGCCCGGCCAAAGAAATGCAATATCATCCAACATTATTAAATTTAGCACTGTCTTAAGGGGCAAAAATATTTCATATTCCCCCACTTTACATCATGCAAAATTTTTGACATTCCCCCTCTTGACTAAAAGACCCCCCCCCCCCTTCCCATCCGGTCTTAAGGAAAGTAAAATTTGGGCATTAAATAATGAAATGGTGCAGGGATCGATGTTTGAAATAAAGAGGTAAAAACAATAGGTAACAAAAAGGGTCACAGAAGGTATTTTTTTCAGTAAAGTACATGTTGAGGAAATTTGTAAGAGATTCAGGTGCCAGCAGTGGCTCACTGGGAAATTGAGTACTTTGATCAAGTAGCAGTTTAGAGAGGATCCCCATGATAGCTTTTCGGGATCCGGGATTTGGCCTTTTGGAGTCCGGGATTCTACCCTGCGAGCAGAGGCCCTTCGATCTTCCTAGGTAAGTCCTCTTCCCGACTTATCTAGGAAGATCCAAAAGCTTCTGCTCACAGGGTACAGGGATTCGGGATTCTAAAGAAATATGGGAGCGGGATTCGGGATTGCATTTTTGGACAGGACGCGGGATATAGCGTTATTATGAAGCAGGATCCGGGAATTAATCGCCTTTAAACCACGAGATCCAGGATTTCTGGCGGGGAAAAATTTGTAAGTCAGCAGCGACTGATCAAAACAAGAGTACCGTGTCGTACTATGTTTCTTATCTCGGTGTTTGCATAGTTATTAGAGGAGACTGGTTATGAAAAGCGGCAAACATCAATGATAAAAACAACAGTGCTGCAGTTTATGTTGGAAGCACCCTGAAAGTGCACAATCCTTTGTTTTCTGTTGGCAAATTGTTACGGAATAAATTCATGCAACGTTTTTATTGGTCAATACAATCAAAATGATAGGAATTCTTTTGAACGTTGTGCACTTTCAGGTCCACAAAAACATATAACAAAGGAGTCTGACGGGTTTCATAACCAGTCCACTCAATTAACTATGGTGTTTGGGAGAACTTAAGGTATTACGGTGAATTCTTATTGGTATAATGATACCAGATAACAGATGTAAATATTTATTGTATATTTATACGTCAGAATAGCCCCGCATAGAGGAGTCGTAATATAAAGTGTATGTTATGTTATGTTATGTTATGTTACGTTATGTTACACTGCTACACCCACTGGCCAACACCAGTCAATTGTGTGACTTAAAATTACTCTTTCCTTAGCATAACATTACATAACATTATGTGGTTGCACAGCTGAATAGCTTTCAATTCTCTCCAAAATATCGCGTGATTCCAGCCCAGACGTTGACGTCATTCAATGTGAATATAATTAATTACTGCATAAAACACCGCACCCAAACCAGCCCCCACTAAATATCTCGCTGAAGTATATCATCTTGTACATATCTCCCAACCTCCGAGGCAGATGGGAAAGAGCTTCAATATCTCCAATGCCATGCTGACTATTCGGTTTTTCAAGTCTTAATTTGTCTTAAATCAAAGAAGGAGAAATCGGGTACCTTAGTATTATCGCTGGTTCTTGATGTACACATTCCTCATTTATGTATAGCCCGATACATTTGGATCGCCCAGTGACGCCGGTAAGCAGACTTTCTGAAATTCGAATGTTCACTGTTGTTAGTTTAGAAACTTTTAATTTCAAGGCTGTAATGAATAAGCAGAGAATGAACGCCACGGAATTACTTCTCTATTTCTGACTACTTGTTTTGTCAGTAGATAGTATCTGCAGTGTATTCTTTAGGGGCAAATGGCGACATTAATGATAAGGAAATGAAAGTGTTAACAAACTTGCAAGCTTCTAACACAAAACTGATTCTGTTATATTGAGTCAACACTGCATGAACCTTTCTAAGATGCTTCTTCTCGAACTCATTAACTTCAAGCTGCAAAGGAATTTTTCTGTGAAACGATGATCAGTACAATTAATAAAATTAGCAGCTGAAGCGGATCGGTGACCGTCGTGAACGTCCAAATCTTTCGATAATTAAGTTTATGATGTTCTCAGTCTTAAACAGACTTCTGTTTCCTTCTGAACGCAAATCATCAAAAATCAACAAAGCTGCAACTTCTTTTAATAAAAACATATATCAATAGTCTCTGATCAATTGTGTTGCAAATAAAATACAGCAATGTGACAAAATGAAGGTGGAAAAGTGATGCTCACTTATGCGTTACTTAATTCAGTGAATTCCTTACTTTGAAAATTCTGGACTCAGTTCCTCTTGGTAGATTAGTCCGTTTTTACAAATGTCTCTAAACACTGACATGACTCTGTTCACACAATGTCCTGCTGGTTATCTTCCAATCATGGTCAATCTTTTTCTGTTTTTCGACAGGGACTGAGTGGCGTGAATTAAAGTAGGTTGCATTTTTATTCAGCCACTGTCGGAGCTTGTCGACGCCGTTTAGCTAAGTCGGAGATCATCAGCAGGTTTGTTTAAGATTTTAAACTACTCAGATTGTTCATGAACCGAGTTAGAACCATATCCCGAGGAACTCAGGAAAGACTATTTATACAAT